TTATGTCTCCTCGAATTAGACAAGGCCTTAACAGTAGTCCAAAGCTTACTTACACCGGTGGAGAGGTTGCAGGACTTCAGGTGCTCTATTCATTTGTCCGCTTGTGTTGATTTACCATTTGCCGAATCTTCAAATTGAGATTCCTTATTCGGGGATTACAGGGATCGGCATGGCGTAAGGTCTCGCACTTGTTCGCTAATACAGCTGCTTCGGCTGGGAAATTGGGGCAGAATTCCGCGCTTCTTCCAGCCTAGGGCTATTATATCGGCGATCTAACCCTGTTTAGATCGGTAAGTTTTAGTTTAAGTTTGTCGGCCTTAGAGCAACACCTAGCAGCTGGGTTGCTCCGTATCCTCCTGACCCGTGCTGGCATCGAGTCCAACCTAGGCCTCGAGGAATTCTTCTGCTACATTTGCGCTAAAAGTCTCCATCCAAACTCCACCTCGGTTAGGTGTAATACATGCAATGGATGGAGCCATCTTAAAACCTGCTCAGGCCTTAAGACACATAGGGAGTGGACCACGTGTTACGTGGCCCCATGCTGCCAACGCACTACTGCGATACCAGCCTTAATCTTCAAATTGAGATCCCTTATTCGGGTATCACAGTAATCGGCATAGCGTAAGTTGTCGCGTTCGTTTGATAATACAGCTGCTTCGGTTGGGAAATTAGGGCGGAGTTCCGCGTTTCTTCCAGCCGTTATGAAGCGAGCAGTGGCAGTAGCGATTACCTTGTGGAATTGACGCTCGCCAACGATGACGTCCGTAGGAATGGGTAGTGCGGTGAAGGTGCTCTCAGTAAAATCTGTGAAGCCGACCCTGTCAGCTTGTTAAAGTTAACAAAGGTGCGGTTGTCCACAAAAATAAAGTCGGGAGGTTTCTCAGAGTTCTGCGCGAAAAGGCAACTTTGTCATAGAGGGTATAACATAATCGTTAACCTCAATGTTCTCTAATATTTTATTTTTCTAGGTTTTGGATTCCTGTATTGGGGGTATAATCTGTTTTCATTTCTTTCAGTTCATTTACAACAGATGTCGATAAGGTAACACTGGTATTTGACATTTTGCAATTCCCACAACAGCCGGTTCTACGTTACTGGAATTGACCCGGATTTTATCCGGCCAAGGGCTGTTATTTCGACGATCTAACCCTGTTTGGATCGGTAGGTTCTAGATTAAGTTTGTCGTCATCGGAGCAACGCCTAGCAGCAGGGTTGCTCCGTATCCTCCTGACTCGTGCTGGCATTGAGTCCAACCCGGGCCCCGAGGAATTTTATTGCTGCGTTTGCGCTAGAAGGCTCCATCCAAACTCAACCTCGGTTAGGTGCAATACATGCAATGGATGGAGATATCTTAAGACCTGTTCAGGTCTTAAGACACACGGGGAGTGGACCACGATTTACGTGGCCCCATGTTGTCCACGCAATAATGCGACATCTGCCTCAACGGCTGTGCAACCTGCACCATGTTCGCGCACTGCTCCCGAAAGCCTTCGACACAGTCAATCCCACAACGCTACTTGCGGTCGGCAATCATCCGTACTATTTCGGGGTCAAAACTCCAAACTGAGAAGAATTAAACAGGGGGTACCACAGGGTGGTGTCCTCTCCCCTTTACTGTTTAACTTCTACATCTCGAAACTCCCGCAACCACCAGAGGGAATTTCCGTGACCTCGTACGCTGTTGACTGCACGATATTGACGTCGGGCAATTGAATCGATGGCATGTGCTCGAAAGTAAACAGCTATTCTCTGATCTTTTTCGCTTCTTCTCTGCAAGGAGTCTGACACTCTCCTCCACTAAATCCACAGCGACCATATTTACGAACTGGACGATGGAGTACAGACTGGATCTAAACATTTAAGGCGATGGCACCAAAATTCCGACTGTAAACAACCCTAAAATTTTAGGCGTTACGCTAGACAGTCTTTTCTCCTTCACTCTCCACACGACCGCGATAACTGCCAAAGTACAGAGCCGCAACAAAATCCTCAAATCGCTTGCCGGCAGCTCTTGGGGAAAAGACAAAGAAACGTTGCTGGCGACATACAAGGCAATCGGCCGGCCGGTCCTATATTATGCAGCCCCAATATGGTAGCTTGGATGTAGTGCCACGCAGACGAAGAAGCTCAAGACCTTTCAGAACACTGCACTTCGAACTATCACGGGATGCCTCTTGATGTCCCCAATCGAACACCTACACAGTGAGGCCCGTATGCTTCCGCTTAAGGAACATAACGAGCTCCTCTCCAAGCAGTTTCTGCTGGGATGTTTTCGTAGAAACCACCCCTGCAGTCGTCTGCTTGTAGCATCAAGAGGTGATTTGATTACGTCGACGACATTAGACAGTACGCCGACCGGACTTCGGACGCAACGAACTTCAGACAGGCACTGACCGCCATTCACAGTGAAGCCATCAACACCTTCACCGACTCCCTCTCAGTGAATGGCGTATTACGAGTCAAACCACCACCTATAGCAGACGTAGAGCTCGAGTTGCCTCGCGAAACCAGAGTGACCCTCGCGCAACTTCGTTCTGGTAATTGTAGCAGGTTAAACTCGTACTTATCCAGAATAGACCCCGACATACCAAACACATGTCCTGCGTGCAATGAGTCTCCGCATGACACTAACTCTAACCTCTTTGAATGCCCAACAAAACCCACTCATCTAACACCCTTTTCCCTATGGTCCGACCCCGTCGAAACAGCTCGTTTCCTGGGCCTCCCGTTAGATGACCTCGTCGACAACCAATCTGGAATTTATCACCCAAACGGGGACTAGGTAACCATTACAACAACAACAACATTTTGCAACCCTTTTGTTATTGTCAGAATTAAAAGAATTGAACAATGATTTAAATATTGAATTAAAGCTATTTCTGCACTATATAATATAAAAAAAATGTGTAACGAATTAGGGAAGTGTAAGTGGATACAAAAGTGAAAAATATAAGTGTATACTTCATTTTAAATTCAACTATTTAAAGTACGTATTTATACTTTAAATAGTTGAAATTTTCAACTTCAGCATTGTTATCTCGAAAACTATAAGTTTTCCGCGGCCATATCTATATATATTCTTGATCTAGAGGATCTCTATCCGACCATACCGATTTTATTCCCGAAAGCCTGGGACAGTATTTTTCCGTTATTTCTGGAGAGAGTTATAGTAAATTCCCACAACAGCCGGTTCTGCGATACCGGAATTGACCCGGATTTTATCCGGCCAAGGGCTGTTATTTCGGCGATCTAACCCTGTTTGGATCGGTAGGTTTTAGATTAAGTTTGTCGTCATTGGAGCAACGCCTAGCAGCAGGGTTGCTCCGTATCCTCCTGACCCGTGCTGGCATCGAGTCCAACCCGGGCCCCGAGGAATTCTACTGCTGCGTATGCGCAAAAAGGCTCCATCCAAATTCCACCCGGTTAGGTGCAATACATGCAATGGATGGAGCCATCTTAAGACCTGCTCAGGCCTTAAGACACACAGGGAGTGGACCACGAGTTACGTGGGCCCCATGCTGTCAACGCAATAATGCGACATCTGCCTCAACGGCTGTGCAACCTGCTCCATGTTCGCGCACTGCGCTGCCACTCCAGTCGAGTGGCCAAAATAGGACCTCCACGGTCCCAAGGAGCTCACACAGACAGCATAACTCCTAATCTGACCAATTAGGAGGAGATAGTTGCATTTATGAGCCGGGAGCGCGTAACGATAGCTGCGGTCCAAGAAACCAAGCTAAACAGCGACTCAGATCTTCTGAGTTGTGCAGGTTTCAACGTTGAACGTAAGGATCGAGAGCGGGATAATGGTGGAGGCCTAGCCTTCATATTGCACAACACCGTGCAATATCGTCTAATCGATGTTGACATCGACCGCAAGGACACCACCCTAAAATGTCAGGGTATAGCTGTCCGGTCAGGCGATGTCGAGCTCGAGATATTTAATATATACATCCCCCCAGTTACATGTTGCCCAACAGGATATCACCCGAATATAGATGCGCTACTACGTGGTGAAAACCGTTTGGTGCTAGGCGACTTTAACGCGCATCACGATCTTTGGCATTCCTGCCTGTCAAACGATCGTAGGGGGATGGAGCTGGCGAAACAGATTGACGATTCGACATTCTGCACAACGAATGACGAAGGCCCCACTAG